GTCTTGTTCATGAGAGAAAAATATGCTTCTATCTTTTTGAGCCTCTGTATTTGGGATTCATTTTGTTACAGTTGCCTAACATTTAGCCAACTAACGCGAGTTCTTTCAGCTGTTCCAAGCACAAAGCCCTACCATCAAATGCTTATTAATTCCACGAAGCTAGGACAGTATTGAACAGGGAAGGATTTAATTCCAACCTGCCTTGGCTCGTTTGTTCTTAAAATATCTAAGCAGTATTTGAGTTTTAATACCGAGTCACTGCACAAGAAGCTTGTCTAGAGCGAAGTGATGCATATGGAATGAGTATTTACTTAATAATCCATTGCATCTCTTTCAATCCAGGCCCAATTCAACGTCACATCTGAAACAGAGGTCTCAGGAAGACATATTATGTTATCTGTCTTTGAGGCAGAAAATAACATCACCAACAAACTTCTATCATCTCTTGACTGATCGGTGAGTCAGGTGTGTAATGACAGACTCCCCCCACCAAAAGGAGGCAAGATCAAGCTCTAAGCTGGCACTGAACAAAAACATATCCTTTAATCAAAGGCAAATCCTAGCTGTGTGGGAGTCTAATAAATCACCCCTGAATATGGAAGGGATTGAGCTGAAACCTGTGTAGCCTCAGCTGTGCAGCCAACCCTGCAGTGCTGGCCACCAAGCTTTTACACATTCACTGATCTAAACACATCAAGTCCATGCGGGAAGGCGGTCACCTGCACTGCCTTGCAGTTGCTAAGGGCCTGTGCATGAAATGCACTGGTCCATAATAACAGTGATCCAACTAAGCACCCTTTCCACTCATTCTTTCCCTCACTATCAAACTCAAGAGATCAAAAAAGTGCAGAGAAGCAGGTGGACGTTTACAGCAAAATCATCACTCGCATGTGGGTCAAAGGGGGAGGCTGACGCATTCTGGGAAATTATACACCCCCCTTGCAATGAAATGCCCTGAAGTCTGGGAAGATTTGGGTCAAGTAGGTGTATTTCCTCCAAATGGACCATTTGTAGGCACTTCTCTCGGCAATGAGAACATTAGGCTCACTGTAAAGAAGTAACATTAAGATCAATAGAGTTGAGGGGGAAGGGATCATGACTTGATCGAGATCATTTAAAGAGCAAATATTTATTGAGCATCTCAAGTCACACAAAGCAAGTGTCATGTGACAAGACAGAGTCTCTGTCCTCAAGGTGCTCAAGGCCCAGCCATTGTGACAGAGTGCTCAGTGCCCAGAAGAAACAAACACAGAGTGATACGACAAGTGGGAGGGGACTCAAACCTAGTTTGGGGATGGGGGGTAGGATAGCCCTCCCCAAAAGAGGCTACAGGAAAGCTGAGGCCAGAAACATTTTGATGGGCCCCTTGCGACATTGCTAGAATGGGGATAATACCTGCCTATGAAGACACCACTATAAAATGGTGTTCATAGTTTCCTCTTCATGTGAGTAAAATATGGCTGATATCTTGTAATATGTAATCAAAGATTTACTCCATTGCCAAAATCTACATGAACAATAGAAGAGGTCATAATGTAAATTTTAAAAGAAAGGCAGAATATTAGTAGAAAAGGAAATAGAAGTTGATATACTAGAGAATTTGCATCATTCAGAAAATCTAGACTCCTGGAATCACCTAGTTCCAATTCTGTTATCATCAGGAATATGTCTAAACCCGCCAAAGCAGATGTGAATGGGAACTGTCATCACTATTCAGTGAAATGAAAATCAGGAGGCAGGCTGCTTCTGCCCACTTCTGCAACCAAGGACAATCTCTGTGGAATTGCTTGACCTCGGCCCGTCTCTTTATCTAAAAATGAGATGTTGGATGAGAACGTTGGTTTTCAAATACACTTTTTTGCTACAATCCACAGTGAAAAGCAGCATTCCCCAAGGTGACCTGATACAATGCTTATCTTTATTAATTTTAATGCATTTGTTATTTTTTTATTGTACTCTAATCCATTTCTTTAAAATAAAAATGCCAGTTAGACCCACTAAGCTAATTTGCTGTCCCACAGTTTGTGACCTGTGGTCTGAACAATTTCCAACTAGATCATCTCTTAGGGCCCTTCTGATCCCAATTCTAGGAACTGTCAACATAATCATCTAATATTTAGCACCTTGCAGTTTCCAAAATGTTTCACAGGGGCTATCTCCCACAATCCTCACAGCTGTGGTGTGACATGGTATCTGGAGATGCTCATGGGATTCATCACAGATCACACAGCAAGCGTATGACAGAGCTGGGACCCGCCCCAGTGACTGCACAGCAGCACGATGCTTGGCCTGTTCAGCAGCTCTTCTCTCGGAGAATCCCACCTCCTGACACCCTCTGCCTTCAAGCTTCAACTTAAATGCCTCTCCTGATCTGTCAAAAGTGGGACGCCAATCTAGTGAACACATTCCTAGAATGTAAGGTTAATTTTCACGTTCATGTCCTTGCTAGATCCTTCAGGAACTATCCTGGGTCGGCCACAAATGCATGAAACTCAGTCCCTGCGCTGGAGGAGCTCACAAGTCTCGCAGGAAAAAAAAAAGTTCCACCCACAGACTCCCCCACTAAACACAGCTTCCCTTTCAAAGCTGCCCTTCTCTTTTTTTCTCTCAGTGATAATCTCAGTTGTTCTGTTTAATTCAGTAAGTCTCCCCATCTGGCTGACGGAAAATGCCAAGCTTCACGCCTTCCCTGGAGACTTTCTGATCTGATCGCTGGAGGTCAACGGGACAGCAATAGGTGGCACTCCCGGGGGGAAGGACAGGGCATCTGCAGCAGCTCCCCGGCAGTGCTGCTCCTCCAGTGCTTCCCCTCCCACCCCAGGGTGAGTGGGGGATGCCCACAGGCCTTCTCAGCATCACCCGAGATACCCTCCTTAGCCCAGGTCGGCATCTACTGCCTACAGGGATACACAAAATAATATGAACGTCATGGAAAGGTCAGGTCCCCTAGATTTACAGACAAATCTAGGAGGAAAAAATTTACATCAAGGGACAAGGCATAGGGGCAAGAGTGCTTTTAGGGAGCCCTAAGCCTAGGACTAAAACAAAAGACATTCGAGCCCTTCGTTTATTTTTTTAACTATTCACAAAGCAGTAAGTGCTGATTCGTAAGGTGCCAGTACATCTAAGGCAGTTATTGTCAGAACAGTTCAAGTCTGTAGTGGGAATTTATTGTTTCGCTTTCCAGCATCTGGCCCTCCTTCTTCTGAGGACAGAACACAGATTTACTGTGGGGGAACCACATCCCTTATTCTAAACCAGTTGGTATGAGTGGCCCCACCTTAGACCCTATTTTTAGCTCCAGCGGTGGGCCCTGACTGGTTTAAGTTATGGTGACTGGTTTGGGGAGGAGAAGAGAATCCAACTGGAATCAATGAGACAGAGGGATTCTTTTTCTGAGGTTTCAGAGAAAGTGTCTTTTCTTTTCCACAGGAGCTACCAGCAGAAAGTGTCTTTATCCCTGAATGGTGTGGTGTGAGAACAGGAGATGGAGGACTGGGGTAGCATCGAGGTGAAAGATTCCCCTGGATGCAGCCTGAGGATGAAGCTGACACTGCAGAAATAGAGCAGAGAGCCAGAGAGAACCCGCATCCTTAAGGATGCCATCTGGACTGCTGGATCAAGCCTTGCCTATAAGCCTTCCTCTAGATAACTTTAGTTAAAGGAGCCTTTTGTTTGCTCAAGCTAGTTTTGAGATGAGTTTTCTAACACCTGCTACCAAGTAATTCAAATTCATAAAACACTTTAAATATCCCAAAGTAGTCATATGCAAAGGATTTAGGGTCTCTTTGCGGGGGGGGGGGGGGGTGCAGGGGGGAGTACGATATATAGAGGTTGAAAGAAACTTTTCTTAGCTTCTATTACTTCTTCAGGAAATAATCACAGTACTTAGCATCTATATAATTGTTCTAATTTCTCAAAAACACCTTTTCCACACATATTTCCTCACTTGAATTTCATTATCCCGAGTCCAAAAAATTATTAAAGTTTTATTTTGTAGTACTTATTTATCAAGGACTTTATAGAATTTAAAATAGGATTTTAAATTCAGTAATTCATTTGATTGTCACAATAACCAAATGAGGCAGGAACGGTGGGTCTCTCATAGGCAGGAGAAAGCTGAACCTTAGAGAAATTAAATGAGATGCCCAAGTCAATTTGAGGAGGTGTAGGAAGACAGGCCTCAAAATTCAGACCTCTTGCTTCCTGGGTTTTAACATCATTCTATCTTTCTCAGCTCAGTCCTCTGAACTAATGATACTAAACTCAACTCCTGGAAACAAATGTGTGCGGACCGGCGCACTGAGTCAGCAGTGGGCTGAACTGGACGGAAGCGCCGGAGATCCATATGTGGATTCCAGTGGCAGAGCTGCCAGAACTAACTAGCTGGTGACCTTGGACAAGTTCCCTTTGTCTTATTTTCTCATCTTTAAAAGGAGAGGTTGGAATTAGGATTTATGATGCCCCTTCAAGGTCTAAACGTTCTACAATTCTAGACTTTCTTGTCCCTGCTCTCAAATTAATCTTTTTTCTTAGAATAATAATTATAACCACAGGAGACATTTGTTCTCTCTGGGTGTCAGGCACGGTGCTAAGAACTCTTACCTCCATTTTCTCTTAAAATCTCACAACACTCCTGAGACAACTGTCTCTGTTTTACAAATAAGGAAACTTGGACTGACAGCTGAAAGGAACTGCTCGAGATCAAGAGAAGTGGTAAGCATCAAGGGGAGATCCGACCCGAGGTCGGACCGGCCACAAGGACCTTAACTCAGTCTATATTGTTCTTTCCAAGAAATTAGGCTCCCCCATTACTGCTCACCTCTTTCCACGCAGAAGAGGGATTAAAAAAAAAAAGCCAAACCGAGTTACCCCAAGCCTCTGCAAGGCAAAAATGGAAAAACGCTGGAAGGGCGCGTGGGAGGATCCTCCCCAGGCCCAGGAGGCGGGGCGCCCCTCCCTGCCTGCCCCGGGATCGCGGCTCGCCTCCCGGACGTTACCTTGTTGAGATGCGGGTTCCTGGTGACATCGTATCCGCGCTTCTTCAGGGGCACAGAGCGCGCTGGGCCGGGCTTGGAGTGGCAGCCTCGGGCGGGCGCGGAGGGCGCCCAGCGCGGGACGGCGCCGCAGGCCAGGCCCGGCCGCAGAACCAGCCGCGCGCTCGTGCCCAGCGCAGCGCCCATGGTCCTGGCTCAGACCTGGCACCGGGGGGAAACCAAGGTCAGGGGCGCCTTCCGGCCGGCCAGGCCCCACGTGCGCCGCAGGACGCCGAGCCTGAGCCGGGGACGCGTCCCCAGGAGAGGAGAGGGGGTTCCCAACGGTTAAAGGCGCCAGCCCCCGCCCTTCCTCGGCGGCCACCTGCGCGGCTCTCTCCGCTCGCTTGCGGTGCGCAGGCCTCGCCAAGCGCGGGGCAAAGCGAAAGCAAGCCAGGAAGCAGAGTCTGTGCAGGCGACAGCCCGCGTCACCCCCGCCCCATCCCCGCGAGAAAGAGGCGACTGCGCGCCGAAGGGTCCCCGAACCTCCACGCCCGCTCGGTGGCTTGCCTCGGTCCCCTCCTGCCCCAGCCCACCTGCGCTGCTCCCGGAGCTGATGTCTATGCGGCCCCGCTGCGGGGCAGGCGGGGCGAGACGCTGCAGTGCGTTGTTCCCCTCCTGCCAATGGCTGCACCGCGCCGGCGGCCGTGAGAGCGCGAGGCTGGTGGGTTCCAGAGAGAGCGGTCCCGAAACCTTCGTTCGCAGTGCGGGGCTTCCCCTGAGGACGCGCGTGGGGCGCTGCTTAACCGCATGCACGTGCCTCCCCAGGGACAACAGGAACCTCAGAATGCCCCCAGGCCTCTCCATCTGGACGAGCTGAACAAACCCACAGGCGGGGTTAGCGTTTAGGGATCAACATACCCTCTTACTCTCCCATTTGAGGAAGGCCCTGGTTTCAGTCTTCAGAGTAGAAATTCTCAGGCGTCTAGTGCTCGGTGTTGCGTCGTGCTGTCAGTACAATAGCCTTGGCCACATGTGACTCTATAAATTTAAATATGCTAATTTAAATGGAATGAAATAAAAAATCCAGTTCCTCAGTCACAATAACTGTATTTCACGTGCTCAAGAGCCACTTGCACATGATAGCTATGGCATTGGAGAGCACAGGTATGGAACATTTCCATCTTTGTGGACAGTTCTGTTGGACATCACTGATACAGGGTCCACAGTTACTAAGAGGGCTCCTGGGGACCAAATGGAGCCTGCCATGAAGGGTTGAGGACAGACAAAGACCTTGAGGTCAGTCAAATCTTGAATTTAATTGTACGTTGTCTCCCCGCAGGAGCCAGGAGATTTCTTTTAAAGTGAACATTTTATTGTATGTGGAGTAAAATTCAAACTCTTTTGGGGGCCTACGGGTTATCCCATAGTCTGCTCCTGCTAAGTTTTTCAGGCTCATCTTAAACCACTCTCTGCCTCACTGAGCTTCAGCCACACTTGCTCTTCCTGTGTTTCCACCCCATCCAGTTCCCTCCCACCTCAGGACCTTTGCACTTGCTATTACTGCTGCTTAGAATGCTCATTCTCTCAGGTCTCCACAAAGTTGTCAACTCAAAGGCTTTTTCTCTACTCCATCCAATACCGCTCCACTAGGGACTATATAGTGAAGGGTTTTTCCCTTCATAGAACTTAACACAACCAATAATTAGCTCGTTTTTCTAATTGTTTATTGTCTGTCTCCCCCTAGAATATAAGCTTCATGAGGAAAGGCTCTTTGCCTGTAAACCCCTGAATCCTCACTGCCTAGCTCACAGCCTGGTAGCCTAGTGTGCAGTTGCACAATAAATAGTTGTTGAGTGAATGAAGGGAAGTGCCAACCACTTTAATAAGGATTTGAACCCTCGGACTGACTGCCAGACAGATGGCGTGGTCTTCAACTGACTCCCGTTCAAACCTGCCCAGGCAGGCAGCCTTCAGAATGAGCACTCTGGCCCTGTTCTAAGTACAACACAGGTATCATGGTGCTCAGGGCTGCCCCTGTCTGGATTTAGGATTCCCTCCTCTCCCTCAGGAATGCTCATCCCCTCCATCAGTCCCTCCCCTCTCCGGTCTGGTCTCCAACTTGCAGCTCTAGTGATCTGTAGAAAACAGAGCTTTCCAAAACACGATCGAAGTTACCTGGTGAGGGAATGGGGTGGGAGCAAAATACAGATTCCCGGCCTGGTCCATGGAGATTATAACTCAGTAGAGTGTAAATGCCTGAAGTCAAGTTTACCCTTGGACCGAACATTTACAGAAACCCATAACTGATCTTTTTTTGTTTGTAAACCAGTTTGAATCAGATTTTTGGTTGCTTGCAACCAAGAGTATTAACTGATACTTTCCTCCCCACACTGTTTTTATATTTGCACATGTTCCTACCAAGTGACAAACATCTTGAGGGTATAGACTGTGCGTGTGTGTGTGTGCGCGCGTGCGTGTGTGCGCTACCATCCTTGGTAGCTGGCACAAAGCAAATCTTCAAAAACCGTTTGTTGAACGAATCTGCCTTTGCTCGATACAACGAACTTCCTCTCACCTGGATGGAGGACATGCAATAGGCAAGCTTGATCATTTGAAACTCAGCTAGAAACCAGAATGTAAAGAACAAAGATTCCTGAATAAGCCAATATAATTTTTATACAATCTATTCACTAAAGCATGTACAGTTTACATATGAGTGTCTTGAGTGTCCCCACCTATGGCCTATATTCTCTTAACCCAGACGTAATCCTAACAACACTGTTTTTCTCTTGGCCGTGTTTGATCTTTGGCCACAGTAAAGGAAAGTGCTAAAGTCAGGTTCAGGTGCAGCAACAGAAGGTAGGGGCAAGAGGAGGTGACCACTGTCTTCCACAGAGCTGTCCAGGGACCCAGGTTCTTTCTCCAGGCATTGTCCTCCTCTCCACGGAAGCACTAATACCACATTGGCATCCCAGCCGGCGGAGAGGGGGAAGAGGAAGTGGAAGGCAAGCAATTCTCCCTCGGGGAAGTGACGTGGAATCGGCACACGTTACTTCTACTCACATTCTGTTGGTGAAAACTTAAGTCACATGGTCACATCAAACTATAAGGAAGCCTGGAAAATATAGTCTCTGGGGGAAAAGCTGGTATGTGCTCTACTAAAGCTCAGTGCGGTGGGGGGGGGGGGGGGGGGGGGAGGGGTGGTCTACTGCTAAAAGGAAGAAGAGAGAAGTGTTCCTAGGCACTAGTAACTACAAGTCTATATACAATACTCATTTTATATTAAAGTGCTCAGAGACTGTTAGCTATTATTATTGGCACTGAGGTTCCCATCTCTGGTTTCACAGTAACTTCCTTACTTTTAGAGCTGAACATGGGATTACAGAAGCCAGGTTCAGAGCCATGAAGGCATTCTAGAACTTCTTCCAACTCCATATAACTCCGACTTCCTTAGCTAGCCAGCCCTATGGTCTGGTCCAGCACTAAGTAGAACTAATGAGTCTCCATAGTTTGTCTCGGCCCCTCTCCCTTCACATCCCGTTTACTGACTGCTGCCATGATTGTAATGTTGCTTCCTGGGCTGCCAGGGAAGGAATCCCATTCCCATCCTCTGAGACTGGAGTTGCCGGATTCTCAGTTCACATAGCACCGTTGCTTTTCCATTCTGATTACAGAGATTTGCATATCCATCCGTTGCTCCTAGATTAAGTTCCTTAAGGACTGGAACCACCGTTTACAATTCTTTGTATCTCCAGTACCTGGGACAGTGCCCAGCACTAAAGATGTACTCAGCTTGTTAAATTAAATAAAATTGATATGAATCAAATTTGTGCATAACCTTCCACGGAGTAGACTTGACCAAAACCAAATTTGGTACGTTGTTAAAAAGGCATCAAAGTAGATTCAAATTAGAGTTTTAGTTTAGTTGGCTATATTGAAACAAGACCATTTGCCTTTTGTAAGCAGATTTTAATGACCCTACATATGGGTTTAAAAAATGAAGGTGCATGAAAAAAATCACTAGTTTTTGGTTAATCCCATTGACTCACAAATGTATATTATTCTATACAATATTTCATGTTTATGCTTGCCCTAAAAGAACTCTTTCATCCCCATTGCTGCTAGTAATATTTGGAGATACTTCAACTCTATTGTTTACGCCAGAGGACAGTGCTGAGGGACGTTGATCTCCTCCTTGTCCCCGTGCTCACCACTCCAAGTACATGCCCTGCGCTCTGCTCTTTGCTCGGTTTTCTCTGCTCCCAGCAACTCCCAGTTGAAGCCGTGTCCTTTCTTCACAACTCTGCTCAACACCACATCCTCCAACAAGTCTTCCCAGGTTCTCCAGCCACCAAGCAGCTTCCCCTTCCTCCCACATGCTCCCCAAATTCTGTTATTTGTATCTTTCCTATTACATTTTTCTGGTCTATCTCTGTGTGAAGTAGTTTATTTATGTGCCTGTCTTCTCTGAGCCTCAAAGGGACTCATAAAGATAAAAGCAACAGCTTTGGATTTAGACAGACCTGACTTCACCAGTGATGAGTTTGTGTGACCTTAGGCATTCTATGTGACCTCTTCAAGCCCCATTGTCTTCATGGATAAAACTAGGATTCTGTTTTGTTTTTGCTTTTTTTTGGTGAGGAAGATTGGCCCTGAGCTAATATCTGTTGCCAATCTTCCTGGGTTTTTTTTTCTCGCCAAAGCCCCAGTACATAGTTGTATATCCTAGTTGTAGGTCATTCTAGTTGTTCTATGTGGGATGCTGCCAGAACATGGCCTGGTGAGCAGTGTATAGGTCTGCACCCAGGATCCGAACGAATGAACCCCGGGCTGCTGAAGCAGAGTGCACGAACTTACCCACTCAGCCGCGGGGCTGGTTTCTGGGATCCTAATAGTACTTCCCACATTGGTTTTTGGTGGATTAGTGTATTTATTTGTTTTTTTTAAGTGCATCATAGTGCGGTTACTACATGCCAAGCACTGTTCTAGGGGTTTATAAATATTAACTCACTTAATCCCATAATATTTCTATGAAATGTGAAACTGGTTATTAAACTATTTCTCTCAGCTCCACATCAACCTTCCTATGCTCTGGTTGATGCTGGAACATGGACTCTGTGAAGCACTTCTTTGGCAGCAGGTTTCATGTTAATTTCTGCGAATGGGGGCACTAGAAGGAGCTCGAGGGCTGGAGAGGGAAGATTTCTTCCCTTCTGTTGCTTGCTGTTATTTCCTTTCAGTATTCCCCCACCCCAGCCACAGCCCTTCACCCTCCGTCAGCTGTTGGTCCTAGCCTCTTCTGCATTCTAGAACCAGCCTCACCCTGTCCTCACCAGGCCCCTGCACACCCATCAGTGGGTCTTTTCCTCCGTGTGTGCAGCCTCTGATGGTCCCAGCCTCTTACCCTTGTTCCTCCAGCCTTAGAGACAGGAGCTACTTCCCTTGGTTACCATCTGTGGTTGCTGCAGCACTCCCTTCCTTCTCATTCTGCCTGCTAGCACCTGTGAAACCAGTTCGTTCTATTAAATTCTCTTTATTGAGATACACCTAGTGCCATCTGGTCTTCTTGATGGAACCCTGCCTGATACAGGTTGGTACAATTATTATCTCCAATTTTACAGGTGAGGAAACAAAACGTGGAGAAATCAAATAACTCACCAGATGTGGGCCAGGATTTAACCCAGTACCAGAGGCCATGGTGGTCACCAGGACACTAAGGGCTGACATTTGGGAAGTGCTTAGCCAGGCCTGGTGCAGGTGAGCACTAAAGGGACAGTGGTCGTCCGATGTCCAGTCATCGTCCTCACCGTTACTCTTCAGCCTTGCATCCTACAGGGCACCTAGCACAGGGTTCTGTGCAATACACGCCTACTGAACTGAACTGATTCACTGCATAGGGAAGGACAAAGTGGCATAGAGGGGCCTGAATTAGAAAAGGATGCAGAGGAGTGAGTGGGGCCATGGAGCCTTCGCATCTGAT